TCTAGGGGTGCTGGCAGATTACGGGCCGACCCAGTGCTGCTGCCAGGCCCGTAATCTGCCATGGGCCCCTGTACCCGCTCCTCCTCATGCTGCTGCCAGTCCAGTGTCTCTCATGGGTCCCCTGTACGGCCTCCCATTGCTGCTGTCTCCATCGCCACACTCTGCCATGTGCCACTTTCAGGTCTCCTCAAACTGCTGGTGTGTTCATTTTTTGTCATAGGGTGCTGGCAGATTACGGGCCTCCATTGCTGCTGCCAGAATGCCTGTAATCTGCCATGGGCCCCCGTACCGCCTCTCATGCTGCTGCGAGGTCCAGAGTCCTCTCATGGGGCAATCCCCTGTACGGCCTCCCAATTGCTGTGTCTCCATCGCCACACTTCTGCCATGTGCCACTTGAAGGTCTCCTCACCACGGTGGTGTGTTCCATTTTGTCATAGGGGGTGCTGGCAGATTACGGGTACCTCCCATTGCTGCTGCCAGTCCCAATCAAGCACACAATAATCTGCCATGGGCCCACTATAACACGAATCCTCCTCATGCTCTGCTGCGATCTAGGTCCAGAGTTGCTCATGGGTCCCGTACGGCCACATCTGCATTGCTGCTTCTCCATCGCCACACTCTGCCATGTGGCCACTGTTCAGGTCTCCTCACACCACTGGTGGCCTGTTCATTTTTGTCATAGGGTGCTGGCAGAGATACGGGCCTCCATTGCTGCTGCCAGACGCCCGTAATCTGCCGATGGGCCCCTGTACCGCCTCCTCAATAGCGGCCGGCCAGGCCAGAGTGAGTCATGCCGATGGTCCCTGTACCATCCTCTTCATGCTGCTGCAAGGTCCAGAGTGTGTCAATGGGTCCCCCCAGTAACCCTCCCATTGCTGCTGTCAATGTCCATCGCCACATCTCTGCGGCATGGAGCTGCCCACTTCAGGTCTCCTCACACTGCCTGGTGGTGTTCCAATTTGTCATAGGTGTGCTGGCAGAATTGACGGGCCTTCCCATTGCTGCTGCACAGGCCCGTAAAAGCTTGCCATGGAAGCCCCGTAGGCGCCTCCCCTCATGCTAGACTGGCCAGGTCAGAGAGTGTCTCATGGGGTCCCTGTAAAAAAACGGCCACCCAATTGCTGCATGTCCCCTCCATCGCCCGAACACGTGCCAAATGGTTGGCCACTTTCAGGTCTACGCATCCTCACACTGCTGGGTGGGTTCCATTTTATGTCATAGGGTGGAGCTGGCAGATTACGGGCCTTTCCCTATTGCCAAGGCTCTCTGCCCGTGCCCTGCGCCCGTAATCCCCATGCCATGGGCCCCTGTACCGCTCCTCATGCTGCTGCCAGGTCCACAAGTCATGTCCATGGGTCCCTGTAAGGCCTCCCATTGCTGCTGTCTGATCCATCGCCACACTCTGCCATGTGCCAACTCTCAGGTCTCCTACATGCTGGTGTGTTCCATTTTGACATGGTCATAGGGTGCGTGGCAGATTAACGGGACCAGGATCCCATTGCTGCTGCAGGCCGTGATCTGCCATGGGCCCCTGTAAACCAGCTCTCATGCTGTGCCAGGTCCATGTGTGGCAGATCCCTGTACGGCCACATCCCCATTGCTGCTGTCCTCCATCGCCACACTCTGCCATGTGCCACTTTCCAGGTCTCCTCACACTGCTGGTGGGTTCCATATTTTGTCATAGGGTGCTGGCAGATTACGGGCCTCCATTGCTGCCAGTGCCAGGCCCGTAATCTGCATGGGCCCCCGTACACCTGCCTCCTCATGCTGCTGCAGGGTCCAGAGTGTCATGGGTCCCTGTATGGCCTCCCATTGCTGCTGTCTCCATCGCCACACTCTGCCATGTGCCACTTTCAGGTCTCCTCAAACTGCTGGTGGGTTCCATTTTGTCATAGGGTGCTGGCATATTACGGGCCTCCCATTGCTGCTGCCAGGCCCGTAATCTGCCATGGGCCCTTGTACCGACTCCTCATGCTGCTGCCAGGCCCGTAATCTGTCATGGGCCCCTGTACGGCCTCCTCATGCTGCTGCCAGGTCCAGAGTGTGTGTCATGGGTCCCTGTACGGCCTCCCATTGCTGCTGTCTCCATCGCCACACTCTGCCATGTGCCACTTTCAGGTCTCCTCACACTGCTGGTTGGGTTCCATTTTGTCATCGGGTGCTGGCAGATTACGGGCCTCCCATTGCTGCTGCCAGGCCCGTAATCTGCCATGGGCCCCCGTACCGCCTCCTCATGCTGCTGCCAGGTCCAGAGTGTGTCATGGGTCCCTGTAACGGCCTCCCATTGCTGCTGTCTCCATCGCCACACTCTGCCATGTGCCACTTTCAGGTCTCCTCACACTGCTGGTGGGTTCCATTTTGTCATAGGGTGCTGGCAGATTACGGGCCTCCCATTGCTGCTGCCAGGCCCGTAATCTGCCATGGGCCCCCGTACCGCCTCCTCATCATGCTGCTGCCAGGCCCGTAATCTGTCATGGGCCCCTGTAACCGCCTCCTCATGCTGCTGCCAGGTCCAGAGTGTGTCATGGGTCCCTGTACGGCCTCCCCATTGCTGCTGTCTCCATCGCCACACTCTGCCATGTGCCACTTTCAGGTCTCCTCACACTGCTGGTGGGTTCCATTTTTTCAAAGGGTGCTGTATGGCCTCCCATTGCTGCTGCCTCCACCACCGCCACACTGTGGCTCCACACTCTGGTTTTGGCCCCGTGACTGCCCAAATGAGTGAAGTGTTCAGTGATTCTAAGATCGACGGCACTCATCTGCATGTCATACTGACTGACAGTATTATTTCTCTTCCCCAGCAGACTCCAAGGGCATTTAAATTAAGGGTACAGTGTTCTGCACTAATATAAAGGCTCTCTGAAGACTAGAAACACCCTTTTTATAAGTTAAATTCGCAGCGAATATATTCGCATCGAATCAAATTTATTCCTCGAATTCGCCGAATCAGCCGAATCGAATTTTTGAATACTTCGCTCATCTCTAATAATAATCCTTGAAAACTTTTGTAATTTCTTTAGTTGAGTGGACTAATTCTCCTTTGAAATTTTTTATTTTATCTATATAATTTCTATTTTTTTTCTTTCCTCAGTGTTCTCATCAAATATTTACCCGGTCTATCTCCCCATCTATATCTTTCTCCCGTGATTTTATGAAAAATTCTCGTTTTTTTCTTCGTCCAATACTTTCTCTAATTCTTCCCTCTTTTTTTTTCATTTTTTTCTCTATCTCTTTCGTTATATTACTTTTATGTAGGAGTTCCAACTCAGCTATTTCCTTTTGAAGCTCACTAATCCTTTCTCTCCTTTCCCTTTTTTTCTTAGCCCCAATCGCAATTAGGATTCCTCTGATGTATACTTTGTGCGACTCCCACACTGTAGCTCTTGACACATCTCCCGTTTCATTCTCCTCAAAAAATCTCCCTATCTCCTCCCTGATTTTTCCGTTCAGTATCTTGATCCATGAGAAGTGCCTCGTTCAGCCTCCATGTCAGTCCTCCCGCCAACCTCCCTCCCCATCTTAATTTTTAATACAACGGGGGCATGATCCGAGAGGGTCATTACTTCTATCTTAACACTAGACAGATCTTCGATGAGACGATGATCTATCAATATATAATCTAATCTGGAGTATGTTTTATGAATATTAGAATAAAAGGTATAATCTCTATTTCTGTTATTTACTATTCTCCAGCTATCCACCAGTTGGCTCTCTCTCATCACCTCCTTCAAAAATTTTCATCGACTTATTTCCCTCTCTCTCGCACTGTAGAAGTTGTGTCTATATGTGCATCCATACATAGGTTGAAGTCTCCGGCCACTATTAAATATCCCTTAGAAAAATCCATCAATTTCTTCAGAACCCCTTTCAAAAGCATCTCTGGTTTCCTATTAGGGCAATATATATTTGCTAGCGTACACTCAATATCTTGCAATTTACCTTTCAAAAATAGAAACCTCCCGTCCGGATAGGTATTCCTATCTTCTAATTCAAACCTAACATTTTTTGCAAATCCTATAGCCACCCCCTTCGCTCTCTTAATTGGAGAATCTGCATAATACCACACCGGATGGTATCTAGATTTCAATTTAAGATTTTTTTTTAACTCGAGATGCGTTTCTTGCAAGAATACCACTGAGGCCGCTCTATGCTGTAGTTCTCTAAGTAACCTAAATCTTTTACTTGGACAGTTCAGCCCATTTACATTATGAGTTATGAACTGTATTTCCTCCATATTTTGTTTATTTGTCATCTTTCTATTTTACCATCTCCTTTCTTTTTCCATTTCCCTCTATCTCTCCTTTCATGCCAGATGTCAGTTTTAAAGAACCCCTCTCCCCCCCCCCCTTCCAATTCCCTCCCTCCCTTCCGCTTTAGGCCTATTGCTTCCCTCCCCCCCTCTACCTCCCTCCCTCTCCACCCACTTTAGGCTTGTAGTTTGCCTATAAATCTGTTGAGGATCTAAACCCTCCATAGATTTTATACCTTGGGGTTGAGCTCCTCCCACGAACGGCCTCTCCCACCTCCCACCTCCCCAGATGCCCCTTGTCTATTTCATAAATTCAAGATGATTCCACTAAGATGTACTTCATTCGAGCGAACAGGAAATAGGAAGAGCGAGAAGAAAAAAAAAAAAAAAAAAAAAATCTTTCCTCCTCTATCTTTCTCTCCTAATTAACTGCCAGTCTTCCTTTACTCTATCCTCACTATCTCCTGCCTCCTCCTCCCAGCCAGGAATTTCTATTATTTGCAAATCAAGTCTCTCATCACAAAAGTCCCTTAAATCCTCAGGAAATCTCAAGTAGGCTGTAACTCCGTTCTTCCATCCGATTAGACACTCAGGAATACCCCATCTATAGTGCACTTTTTGTTTTTTCAATTGCTCTAACAGGGGTTTCAAAGATCTTCTTCTCCTTAGTGTCTCTGTTGTCAAATCTGCAAATATCTGTATATTTACTTCTCCATATTTAATATTTGATCTTCCCTTAATCTTTCTCCATATCTCTTCCTTATCACACATCTTTTGGAATTGGACAATTATGTCTCTGGGTTTCTTTTCACCATTTCCATGTTGAATCCTTCCAATTCTAAAAACCTCTTCCAGATTCACCTGTTCTATTTCTGGTCTCTCTCTTATGGAGTTTAGTATTTTACAGATAAAGTCTCTCATTTTTCCTCTCCCTTCACGGATTCCGGAATACCTTTTACCCTAAAGTTCTTCCTTCTCTCCCTGTTTTCCTGTATTTCCATTCTATACAACAGTCTTTTTTGCTCTTTCTTAATATCTTTTGTCCTTTTTTCTAAGTCAGAGATATATTGGGGCGTGATTTTTAATTCTTTCCTCTGTCTCCTCCATCCTCAATAACACTTGCCCTAAATTATTCTGTATGATTGTCAGTTCTTGTTTTATTGTTTTTTCTAGACTTTTGAACATATCTGCCATCTCTTTCTTATTTGGTACTTGTAGTTCACTTTCCAGATTTTTCCTTTCCACATTCTCTAATATTTGTTGACTATTATGCTTTGTTCCCAGGGAGAGTCTCGGGCTAGCTTCCAAGCTTGTTTCCAGCTCACTTTTATCACCGATATCTTGAGATCTTTCTGGGGTCACATTACCTTGAGATGTATATTTTTTTTTATCGTGCCTACTTGGGACCCCTTTAGCCCACTACTTTTAGCGTTTTTATTCTTCATCTCTTCTGTGGTTTTATTCAGTTAAATACAGGAACCACCTTGGTTTAACAGCTTCAGACCAGGTACCTAGATTTCAACACGTGCTTAATTATCCACTTTCCCACTATGCGCTCCTTCTTCTTCCAGGGCTGCTAGTTTCACTTATACACATCTTCCCCAGGGAGTCTACCCCACTTTAAACATACAGTCACCATATAATCACAATTTGTTTGGTCGTGCTGCTCACACTCACCCTCTGGTTGCTTTTCTTCTGGTGAGGCAGCCCCGAACCACCAGCTGCTAACTTCAGCTTCCAATTACTCTCTTCAGGGGGACTCCTCTGGTTATTCTTCCTCAGCCCCTACTCCCCTGTGTATAGACTCAACACACACTGGGAGCGGGCCATCCATTGATCGAGTGTCTTCTCCTGTATGTCTGCAAGGGGGGAGCGAGAGGGGGGAGCGAACCGGCGTCCTCACTCTCACTGCAGATGCCGGCCGGCTTTCTCCCCTTCCCAGTAATGCTCTGCGGTTTCCCACTTGTCAGCTCCGTGGGTCTCCGCTCTCTCAGCTGCCCCGCACTTCCGTCCGGACCTCCTGCAGCAAGCCCCGTCTCCCAGCACACCCTCCACTCTCCACTCCCGGGCCGCCGGTCCCGCTCCAGAGCCGTCGCTCGTGGGTAAGTCCCCGGGTCAATCCTGCACAGGCATCCGGGATGGTAGAGGTGATTCGGAGAGCACCCGCTCCGTGCTCTCCTACGCCGCCATAACAAGGCTCCTCCCCCCCAAAGGGATTCTGATCTGGGGCCCTATTTACATTTGACCCACTGGAATGTCCTCCCTCTGCAACACAAAAGAAAACTTACCTGGGTATTCATTGGATAATGGAGTATTCCCCCTTGCTTATAAAGGCCTGGAAGATAGAGAGAAGTAAGTGTTTAAAGAAGACCTGAAGATAACTCAAAACCATCGCTGTTTTCAACCCTGAGGTAAACCTCACTTCATACTTTCTAATCAAAATCATTTTTTTTTCAGATAAGAGAAGATCTTGGATACTTTTGTCCCTATTTACATGACCCAAAACAAAGCACTATCTTGTGTTCCATTGCTGGTGAGAAAGTGCTTCCTGTTTTGGGCAATGTGGGAACTGGGTTAAACCTTCCAGATGAAATGAGGAGCATCAGAGTGGCCAGTCCTCTACTTTCAATGCTTTCAACTCAGTCAAAGCAGAGCACTGTACCTTATTAGAAAAATCTCGGCTTTAAAACCTGTTTTTTTAACATGTAAGTGTCACCTTGTTTGACCAAGGTGAGAAGCAGATTATCTGCAACCACAGCCACAATACCTTTCCCTAACAGCCATTTCAGACATATTAGCGCGCAAAACTCCAAACGGAGCACTTTTCTGTGATGACGTATTGGAAGTGTGCTCTTCTGTTTGGGGTATTGTGTGACCAGACTTACTTGGATAGAACATTCATGAAGTTACTTGGAGAAAGCTCAATTTCATTAAAACGTTTCTCATGAAACCTAGGAATCAACATAAAAATCATCAAGGTTCTTGGTTTGACAATTGTGAACTATGTTTAGGGTTAGATAGCAATATTATTTCCAAGAGTTATTTTTGGTAGACCGGAGTGATCAAGTGGAAATTTGCTTTTATCCTTGTGATTTTTATGTCTGCAGATAAGTCAAATGAAAGCACTTTCTTATATGTTGGGATTTCACTGAGTGCTTTTTGTTTGGTTGGTCTTTAAACTGTGAATACTCATATTCTTTTTCATTGGTTAAGTGATTTGAAACATATTTGGGATGG